TCACCAACACAACATAACAGTTATTGCCTAACTAATGCTTTATAGGACAGAATGCTTGTCAGTTTTAAGAAATAAAATGTTCATAGAATGAGCACTATTGAAATGTGTATATTGAGATGGATGTATGTCAAGAAAAAGGACAAAATTAGAAAGAAAAAAAAAAAAAATCAATTGGTAACGTGCAGCAAAACCAACAGCTGTGCTAGTGAGGAAAAGTAATGTTCCTCGTGATGGCAATGATAGAGAATAGAAGACAAAACTAACATCAGTTTATGTAGTAAAGAAGTTATGATAGTGTGTAGTTTCATTGAAGTTATAATTAACCCTAGAAAGAGCAAATGGTGCAATAAGATTCATGTAGCATACGCCAATTAATTTGAGATGAAATTTTGTTGAGTTGAGTTGTGCTAAAACCTTTGTGAAGCCACTTTGAAGCATTTTGTGGTTCCATTTAACCATTGCCTCATGTATAATTCATTAAAGAATATCCTTTAGAATTTTCCTAATGTACTTTGGTTGGCATATGGGATTTAATTGACTTTGCTTATTTGAATACATAATATTTATTTTTTTTTTGACACCGCACACAAATACTGGTTGCGCCTCTACTGATTACATATATCCCTTGTTCATATCTCTTGGAACGTTGTTCAATGGCTGCTATAGGAGCCCAAGAAGCCTCCTCAAGTCAATGTTCTTATCAGCTGTTCTTGAGTTTTAGAGGTGAAGACACCCGGATTACCTTTACCGACCACCTTTATACAGCTCTACTATATGCAGGAATACGTACATTTAGGGGTGATGATGAACTGGAGAGAGGACAGAATATCGCCATAGAACTTGATAAGGCAATCCAAGAGTCAAGGATATCAATAATTGTCTTCTCAAAAGACTATGCATCTTCAAGATGGTGTCTTGATGAACTCTTGAATATTCTTGAGCTTTGGTCATATGATTCTGCCTGTCTTCTATCATGTGGATCCCTCCCATGTACGAAAACAGACTGGGAGTTTTGCTGAAGCATTTGCTAGACACGAAGAGCAATTTAAGGCAGAGACCGAAGAAAGAAAAGAGCAGGGGTTGGACAAGATAAAGAGGTGGAAGGCAGCTCTGAGTGAAATTGCAGATATGGCAGGGATGGTTTTAATAGATGGGTAATTTTCTTGAAGTGTTGGTACTGTTGATTGAATATTTTCAAATTATCGATGACATTAGATGCTAATGTTAACCACTCACCACATTATTTCTTAATGCTAATGTTTTAAATGGATTGAAATTTATTGGAATACTACTAATACTATCTATATTTTATTTATCAAATTTTTTTTTATATAAATATATATATATATAACTTTAGCCAAAGAATTGATAAAATATGAAAGTTTGACACCATACAAAAATTGTTAGAATAGTTTAAGAGTTCAAGTAAATGCAAAAGACATGCCATCCAATATGTATATGATATATAAATTTATGAATGCGATGTTATATCACTGTCCTATTTTAGAATTTGCGGTATAGTGGTTTCCAAATACTGGATGTTGAGTATAAAAACTTATTGTATGAGACTGCCTACAATAATAAGAATCTCAGTTTATCGAATGTATTATACCACTGATATAGAGATTTGATCATAAGAAGATTACTATTTGGAAGGCGGCATGAAAAAGGAGGAAAAAGAAAGGATGGATCGAATATGAAAGGCTAAAATGAATTATAAATACCTGGAAAATTATTTTTTTCTCCAAATATATCTGGAATTAAGATACAAAGAAGCATAACTAGGTACGAGTTAAAAGTGCTTCATTAACTCAAAATTTAAGGTGTATAAAATCATATAAAAGCACTTCAAAACAATAAAGTCAGTAGTTGCAAAAATTCTGAAAATAAGTAGATGAATTTTAAAGAATGGAATATCATTAGGATTGTGAACAACATGAATTCCTTTTCATGAACTTGCTTATTTGATTTGGAGTCTGAATTTTGTGAATGTTCTTTTTTTTTTTCTTTTTTTTTTTTTTTCTATATTCTTTCTTTCATATATCTTTAACATAGCATAACCTATATAATTATGTCAATTTGTGATTATCATAATATTCAGCAGTCTATATGCTTGTATAGGAGTCGTAATGGCCAAAATTGACACCATGTTTTTCATTTTAATTGATGACCTTTTAAATGTACTTTATCCATTTGCATTGCAATTTGTAGGCAAGAGGCAAGTTTTATTCAAAAAATTGTTAAAGAGATTGGGAACAAGTTGAATCGCACGGTTTTGAATGTTGGTCCATACCCAATTGGAATAGATTCTCGTGTAAAAGACATTAATACATGGATTCAAGATGGGTCGACGAATGTTGGCATAGTGACAATATGTGGAATGGGTGGAATTGGGAAGACAACCATCGTCAAAACCGTGTATAATCTAAACTTCGACAGGTTTGAAGCTAGTAGCTTCCTTGCAAATATTAGAGAAATATCAGAACAACCCAATGGTTTGGTTAGTATACAAAAACGACTTCTTTCAGATATTCTAAAGGGGAGAAAAGAAAAAATTAGCAGTGTTGATGAAGGAATAATCAAGATCAGAAATGCTATTTGCTGTAAAAAAGTTTTAGTTGTTCTTGATGATGTCGATCAATCAGACCAGTTAAATGCAATACTCATTATGCGAGATTGGTTTTATCCGGGAAGTAAAATTATTATAACAACTAGACATGAGAAATTGCTGAAAGCACACGAACTGTTTAAGATGTACAAAGTTATGGAATTAAACGATGGTGAATCGCTTCAGCTCTTCTGTTGGCATACCTTTGGACAAGACCACCCCATTTGAAAGTTATTTGGAGCACTCAAAACGGGTTGTACACTACTGTGGAGGGCTTCCTTTAGCTCTTCAAGTGTTGGGATCTTCTCTATGTGGCAGACCTGCAGATGTGTGGGAAAGTGCATTAAAGAAATTGGAAGCTATTCCTGACAGTCAGATCCTAAAAAAACTTACAATAAGTTTTGATTCTTTTCAAGATGACCATGACATAAATTTATTCCTTGACACTGCTTGTTTCTTTTTTAGAAAGGATAAAGAATTCACAATTACAATACTAGATGGGTGTGGTTTCTACACAAAAGTTGGGATTCACAATCTCATTGATAGATGTCTCATAACTATCGATGAAAATAACAAGCTGACAATGCATCGGTTGCTTCGGGACATGGGGAGAGAAATAATATGCCAAGAATCACCCAAGGACCGTGGGAAACGTAGCAGATTATGGCATCATAAGGACGTCTTCAGTGTATTAAATGAAAAAACTGTAAGAAATATGTTTCTCGTGATGTGTATTTATATATTTTTTACTTGGTGTGCTTACTTTTCAAGTCCTCTTATCAGGGAACAGATTCCATTGAAGGCCTCATCCTCAACTTGAATGTGTCGAAGGAAGAAAGGTCCACTAGGGAATTCTTTGGTTCAGAAGATTTTCTTAACAAATCAACATTACTTGCTGAAAGCAGTGCATTGAAGCAGCATTGGCGAGGCTTCTTCTATTGGCTCCCTAAAAATTCTGCCTCAACAAGATCGCATTCCACATCAGATGAAGTACATTTGCGAACTGATGCATTTTCAAGGATGCGCAGATTAAGACTACTTCAACTGAATAATACAAGGCTCACAGGAGAATATGAAGAATTCCCTAGGGAGTTGAGATGGTTGTGTTGGCGTGGGTTCCCTTTAGAATCTATACCCAGTGGCTTTCCTCTAGAGAGTCTTGTTGCCCTTGACATGCGCAATAGTAGCTTGAAACAAGTTTGGAAGGGAAACAAGGTCTCATACTAAATTTTTTAATATTGTCTTTTCATTGGTGATTGTTGTGAATATTCATATAAACTAATACTTTCTATTTTTGTAAACAGTTGCTCAGATCGTTGAAAATCCTCAATCTCAGTCATTCTCATGGTCTTACCAATACGCCTGACTTCTCACAAGTCCCCAATCTTGAAAGATTGATTCTTAAAAATTGCATAAATTTGATTGAGATTCATGAATCAATTAGCGAATTGGGGAGACTAGTTCTGTTGAATCTAAAAGGTTGCAAAAATCTTCAGAAGCTGCCGTCCACAATTGGCCAGCTAAAATCTCTTGAAATTCTCATTCTATCTCAATGTTTAAAGCTCGGGAAGTTGGATCCAGAGCTGGGCAATATGAACTCTTTGAAACTGCTCTATGCAGACTGGATTGCCATAAATCAATCACCATCCATGAATTTTGGGGTAAGGTCATGGCCTTCACACTTCTGGGATTTGCTATTGGGACCAAGAAGAAGTCCACAATCGATCAGCTTTTCATTATGTTCTTTACCACACTCATTATCAATCTTGAGTCTTTCTGGTTGGAACCTATCAGATGATGCTATTGCAAACAATCTCGGCAGCCTAAACCTGTTGCAGAAGTTGGATCTAAGTGAAAATCCAATCTGTAGCCTTCCAGAGAGCGTTAAGTGTCAACTAAGCTACAGGAACTCAGAATACATAACTGCAAAGCACTGAAGTTACTTTCGGAGAGCATCAAGTGTCTCAGTATGCTCGAGGGACTCTATCTAGAAAACTGCACAATACTTCAGTTACTTCCAGAGCTTCCAATGAGTGTAAGGTGGTTGTATTTAAGCGGATGCAGGTCATTGGAAATGATAACAAATCTACCAAACCTGTTCAATTTACTGGAGTTGTATTTAAATGACTCTGACAAACTAACTGAGATTTATAGATTGTTCAAGTTTGAACCCATTGAAAACTTTGATGAAGTATTGATCAACAATTTGGGCTTGTCCAACTTGGAAATCATGAGAAATATTGAAGTGTACCTGTGCGATAGCATTACGTCAACAAAAAGAAAAGTTCCCCTTCCGGTGAGTTCTATCTCTCTCTCTCTCTCTCTCTCTCACACACACACACACACACACTCATATTGGTAAGAGTTAAATATTATGATTTTGATGCTGTAGGGACTGTATGAATTCGGTATATTTAGCACTTTTCTCCCTGGTAGTGAAGTTCCAGGCTGGTTCAGCATAAAGAGCATGGAAAATGTAATATGTTTTAAGGTACCTTCATTTCCTAATTTCAAGATCCAAGGCTTGAATGTATGTGTTGTCTATGCACAAACTGGCTATTGGGATGAGTTATGCATGATTGAAGTGAGTAATAGGACAAGGGATCTGAAGTGGATATATAGCCCAACATTGATGGGCGTTCCAGATGACGGCAATGAGATGGTATGGTTAAGTAATTGGAGTTTTGGGAATCAATTGGAAGCTGCTGATGAAGTGAATATTTCAGTGTCTTTGAAGAAGTGTCATAAGCTAAAGCAGTTTGGGATCCATGTTGTGTTTGAGGAAGAAGAGAAGGGTAACCCCCCATACCACACCTACCCTTCTTGTGAAAATATTAATAACAGAGATTTGTTAGTGTATCAGGTAAGCGCAGGTGCCTACTTCCTCTGCCATCATAGGCTTGGCATCATTATGCGTGGCTTTGGTGGACGATGTAATGACTTATCATCAAGTTGGTGGTATGACTTATTATTCGGTGACTCTGAAGGTGTGGCTCCGCTGCGTCTACAGGTGTGACAGGTACTTATTATTACACGCATTACAATTTACAGAGGATGAACTAACAGTAACAACTCTCTATCAAATTTGTTTTTGCTTTTATGTTTATGTTGATGTCCTATTTTATACGCATATATACTCCAAAAAAAAAAATTATACACCTCGAATCTTTGTGTCATTTGTTGTAAAAGTCCTTGCACATGTCATAATCACAAAAAATATTAAAGAAAACTTAAACCATGCCGCTCCTTTATAGATTTTGTCCAATCTAAAAGGTTGCAGAGCTTCCTACAAGTTTCGGTCAGCTAAATTTCTTGAACAACTCACTCTTTTCTAAAGCTCAATAAGTTGTCTAAAATCACTATCTTTGTTCTGTAATCACTTTTAAGGTGGTGTTCGATAAAACTAAAATTTGGTACTAAATTTTAAGAGTTGGATTTTGAAGTGCTGAAATTTTTAGGTGGTAATTAAAAATTAAGAATTCTATTTATTATTATTTTTATATATCTTTTTGAATTATATGTATTTAACATTTTAGCAATAAGTGAAGTCACTATCACTTAAAATTTTATTCTATTTTAAATGATGCTTATCTTTTTAAAGTGTTAAATTGCATTATCAAACACACCTAATTGGACTTAATTCATTCAAAACAAAGTACTGAATTAGGTTACGAAACAACAACTTAGTGGTGCATAGCATTACACAAGCCTCCAATCACTCAAGGCTTTTAGTTTGGTTAGATAGAAAAAAAAACATGAAAGGAAAAGAAATGGAGAATTTGTAAGAGTTTGGTGTCATATCCCGGATTCTTAGAATAAGCTTTAATCTTGATTAATGGCATGATTTTAACTGTACTTAGAGATTTTGACTTTTTGGTCATTACATTAGTGCCATCAAATAGGACTCATATCAGTAGATGATATATGTGTATAAGTAAGGGTGAATAGATAATATATGTGTATAAGTAAGGGTGAATAAATGATATTTGTGTATAAGTAAGGGTAAATGGATGATGACTTACTTGAAAAAGGTAAATAGATAAGACTTGGTAAGACGAACTTTTTTGGTATTTATTTAATGTTATAGGAATCAAATGAAGATGAATTTGTATATAAAGAAAGATTGTGGATGAGAGTCATCCGCGAAGATGAGCAGGAGGACCTCACCTGTGCGGATTCTATAGATCTACGAACTTCAAAAATACACCAAATTAAAAGTGGGACCACACGACTGTTGTAGGATATTTTGGAGATATTTTTTATATTATGGGATGAGGAAATGGGGCACTCTCCTTGCGGATGTATCTTGGAAATTTTTAGTCAAGTTATTTCTAAGGAAGGAATAAACTTATAAAGGAACTTTGGGTGCATCTTATGACGGTAACGACACATTGAAAAACTTATAAAGAAACTTTGGGTGTATCTTAGGTAACGACACATTGAGGCAGCGATTATGCGGTTACAGCAAAAGGGCGTTTTGAAGAATACTTTGACCAAACAATCACATAGATTGAAAGACAAGGAGTAATCCGAAATGTCACTTAAACCAAAACTCTGTCCTTTACTGTAGCATAGACCTAGAGGGTGTTGGACTAAGTTATGCTGCTAAAACATGAGAAAGCTACTTGCGACGCTATCACCAAGGGTTAGCAGATAGAACTGGTTAAAGAACACTATCTAGTTCCGGAAGCTATATCTACTTGGGCGCAGTGATATGGCTTAGGTGACTATGGTGTCGCATCGAGACATGTAGCGTTATAGTCCCAAACGGGAAAATGGGTTGATTGTGGAATAGAGGATTGAGAGAGTTGTTCGTTAGATTGCACAGTATAGGAACGCGACTAATGGTCGCATGGATCCAGCACCCGCGTGCCATAGACGCCCCTCGCAGATACAAGTAATATGCGACCCTTCAAAGGTATATTTGTAATTTGCCTGGAATTGTTGCAAGTGGTGGATGACAGCTGTCACATCCCTGAACCATGAGCCTTATAAATACCCGCAAGGGTCACGCATGGGAGGACACATCAAGAAGTCCCTACTTCACTCTGCTTCATTTTTGCTCTCTATTTCCCATTCATCTCTTTCAGCTCATTTTCTCTCTTCGTTCGATTATTTCATTCAATTCAAGTCAAAGCATAGGTGATTTCTCAAGCTTCTGAATCCTCACATTCACAGAAGACTTAAGCTAATTGGCATTCCTTACCAGGGACTCGTGTTCCACTATTGCATGTATCCACTTGCACCTTATATATATAAGGGGCACATACACACCACTTTAGTCTTTGTTTGTCCTATGTTTTGAGAGATATAGAGAGACCAGATGGGGAGAGTGAGGAGAAGCGGAGTTTGTAAATGGGAGGAGGAGTTGAAATCAGAATTGGAAAAAGAATTGGATTATAATTAAAATAAGATTATATTTGCTATTTTGGAATAAATTGGAATTTGTAAAAGAGAATTTAAAAATAAATAAATTTTGTACCATTTTGGATAAGACACTCAAATATGTGAAAGAGAAGTAATTTGTATAACAGGAGACGTTAAAGCAGTTTGTAGGGAGGATAATTTTGGTAAGTTAATAGTTAGTTACCAAATCTCTTCAAATTCCTTCAATTTTCCCTGGATTTCTTTACGATATTTCCTTTGAAATCCCATCAATTCCCTTTTCTTTTTAAAATCCCATGGTTCCGAACAAATCAAATTCTTTTTGAAATCCAATTCCTATGAAATCCTGGGATTCCAAACACAACGTAAATCTCCATGCTTTACTTTGTACATAAATTGCCCTAAAATTGTTCTTGTTCTTCTTGTTGTTCATGCGCTGAATCTTGATTCTTGATTTTGTGTTGGAAAAAATTATCTAATTCTTGACTCATATTGTCATCCATCTATATAATTGTTGTAAGCCTCCGATTTGTTTGTTGGAAAATTGCTCCTACATGTGTACTTGAAATTCCATATGTTTTTCATTCTTGTAAAGCATGTCCCTCTCGTGTATGAAATCCCGTAGGAACACTTGTTAGAACTATTTATACTGGGACGTTGTGTCTCACTCTACCATTTTTGCAGGTTTCTATGATCATTGGAGAACAATTGGGAGTGGCTGAAAATTATATAATTGGGAGACCATTTAGTTTTGTGTATAAAGTGTTTGAGGAAGTGCTTATATGAATTAATTTTGAGGAATTTTGATGTACTTTGTGGAATTGATATGTTCTTGTTGTAATTCAATGGTTCTTGGACTTTGGCTGAATTGTTACTCACGATTTATATGGATGAACATATATTTTTGTAAAAACCTAATAGTAGTTGTTGTTCAGCTTTGTGTCATAGTTTGAGGGACCAAGATCACCTCCGGTCCCACAGTGTCCCATTTTCTCCATTTTGGGTCAATGAACAGTGTTGACCATGTTTGGTAAAAATATATATTTTCCTAATACAAAATTTTCGTGTATATATATGTGTGTATATACTGTTCATCTATACCAACCCTTATTTCATCTTCGTCTTCCCTCCCTCATTTCAGCAATTGTTTTGAAATAGAAATAAAATCCTGCCACTAGCAGCCTTCTTCTGTCCATGAATATGAATGAAGCCATTTTAGAAATTTATTTCTTTCCAAATAAAAGCCGGAAGCCGTGATTGTTGTGTGAATCAATCCAAAATTTGGATGGTAGAAATTGTTTCGAAATAGAAGTAGCGCTTCTGTCAGTCCCAATAAAATTGCAGAGTTTGATTTCCTTCCAAAAACGAAGCATAGCTAAACAGGAGTGTATTTCGAAATCAAAGCAGGAGATCGGGTTATTTCCAACCCTAAGTAGGTACGATTAATAATTTTGAGATTTGATTTTGAAGGAAATCGTCTTATTTCCATAAGAACTTAATGGCAGAAAGAAATATAATTAGGAAGAATATATAGGCACATTTTTGGTAAGAAACCCGGAAATAGAAAATTATTGGTGAATTTGAATTGATCCGCTTTTTTATTGTGGGTTTTCTTCTATGCTTTCTATTTTTCATTTTTGATCTGTTGCTGTCTTTATTATTTGATATTATTTATCTTACTTGGAATGTTGAAGAATTTCCATGTTCAACAATCAATACTCTATGTTTTGTATTAGGGGTTTTAATGTTTGTTTGTGAGGAAAAACAAATGAGACGATTTGTAGGGTACAGGCCGAAAAAGAGTGTTTCAGAGTGTTACAATGTTAAGGAAATGTTTGGTCGTTGGGCTTGCATCGCAACGTTTTCCTAATTTGCATCACAACTTTGTCCTAATAAGCATCCCAAATTCTTCCTTATCTACATTCTAATATTTTTGTAAAGTAAGTTACTACAATTTCCTACTACAATTTCCTAGGTACATCGTAATATTTTCGTTACATAAATCCCAAAATATTTGTAAATTGTATCCCAACATTTTCGTAATGTCAATCCCAAAGTTTTCGTAATATATATCCCAACTTTTTCAAAAGGTGAATCCCAAACTTTGCCTAAGTTGAGTCCCAACTATTTCGTAATATGAATCCCAACTGTTTGCTAATATAAATCCCCAAATTTTGCATAATATTTATTCTAACATTTTCATAAAGTGTATGTGAAATTATCAATTCGTTGGATATATATGTTCTGTTGTGGCATAGAGGATTTTTATCCTCGTTTGTCTGGGATATACTTGATTGATACATGCAAAGAAATGAATGAGATATATGTCAAATTTAATTGGTCATACATGTGAAAAGATTTTGTATTTGAGCCGTTGAGATGAAACATACTTGGGATGTAGAAGTAAAATTATTTTTTGTTAATTCAATATTTTGTGCATTTGTGAGAAAAGGTTTTGTATTTGAGCCGTTCAGATGGAAGGTGAATTAAATAATATTCAAGACACAACAAACGGAGAAAACGTTGCTGTTGTAGAACCGGAAGTGATGAAATGAAAACTAAGGTATAAAATGGAGTTTGATAGTGAGGAAGAGGCATATGATTTTTACAATGCATATGGTGGTCGAATTGGTTTTAGCATCCGGAAGTAGTATGGCAATAAAGTTAATAGAAGAATTACATCAAGGGCGTTTGTTTGTAGTAAGGAAGGTGTGAAGGGGACTAACAAACGAGATGTATTTAGAAAGACTCCCCGGGCTGAAACACGAACCAGTTGCGGTGCACGAATGGTTATTACATATGACAAGACAAAGGCAGAGTACGTAGTTTCTAAATTTGTAGAAAGTCATAACCATCCATTCATAATTGCTGAATGGAGCCACATGATGCCGTCACAGCGACGAATTTCCTCAGTCCAGGCCATTGATGTTGAGTTGGCTTCGGATTCAAAAGTTTCAGCTTGTAATGCATATGAGTTGATGGGAAGGCAGTTTGATGGCAAAGAATCAGTTGGGTACTTGAAAGTGGATCTTAAAAATTATCTAAGGACGCGAAGACAAAAGGAGCTTCTTTATGGAGAGGCGGCATGGCTAGTGGATTATTTTGAGACGCATGGTTGTGAAGATCCTTCGTTTTTTTATTCCTTGCAACTGGATACTGAGCAAATGATTACAAACATATTCTGGTCAGATTGTAAAATGATCATTGATTATGGCAGTTTGGAGATGTTATCAGTTTCGACACAACGTACAAAGTGGTACACGGCAACAGACCATTTGCAATTTTCTTGGGTATGAATCATTACCGGGAGATAGCTGTGTTTGGAGCAGCCTTAATGTATGATGAGATAGCGGATTCGTTTGTCTGGTTATTTGAAACGTTCTTGAAAGTGATGAGCAGAAAAGCGCCAAAGACGATTATTACGGATCAAGATGCTGTAATGGCAAAGGCATTAAAGCAGGTGAATAACTTTCATGCATCTCCATTCTTGTATTGTTTCATGCTGAAACAATTGCATTATTTCAATCGGTTGTATTTTTTTGGATTTGTATGTTTGCAACACGGGTATTAAGTTAATTAATCGTGTAGGTCATGCCGGTGACGAAGCATCATTTATGTGTTTGGCACTTAATGAATAATGCGCAGAAGAACCTACTGTTTCTGTTTAAACGCGTTGAAGGAGTAAAGAAGGTTATCTCAAAATTAATGTTCCAAATTGAGGAGGAGGATGATTTTATCAGGGAATGGAATTTAATGATTGCAGAGTATGGTGTTGCTGGTAATAAGTGGCTTTCCACTTTGTTAGATTTAAGACATAAATGGGCACTAGCATTTGTCAAACACGACTGGTCTGCAGGAATGAGTAGCACGCAATTGAGTGAAAGCTTCAATGGTCAATTGAAGTATTACCTTTCCAGACAACTTATTCTACCAGAATTCTTTACACACTTTGACAGATTGTTGTCCGACAAGCGGTACAAGGAGTATGAAGCCGAGTATGGCTTGGTGGAGAGGTAACCGGAACTAAAAACAAAGTGCCACATATTACGTCAAGCGGGGAAGGTGTACACCAAGGCAAGATATCAGCTTTTCTAGGAGGAGTTTTTAGCTGCTCTTGCGAGTCAGGCTGTTATTAGTTGCACTGACTTGGATAACAATGGACACTGTGTTTATAAAGTTACTGGTGAGGATGGGGTGCAACATCGTATGAGCAGGACATTTGAAGATGAATTGTCGTGCTCGGGTTGTAAATTTCAAAGAGAGGGGTATTTGTGCAGGCACAGTCTAAAAATCCTTAAAGACTGCATGTTTGTGAATGAGTTGCCTTCGCGATATATAATAAATAGGTGGACTAAAAATATTAGAGATGGCAGGTTGGAGGAAATTGTTTCCACTGACGTGACTCCGGATCCTCAACTTGAGATTAGGCGACGGCATAGGACGCTTTGCCGTATACTGACTGAAATATCTTCCATTGCATCGCATGACCCCGAAGGATATAATGATCTATTAGAAAAAGCACTGGACTAGAAAAGAACAGTACAAATAACCTGTGGTTGTAGGTTTGCAGAGAAAATTGCAAAGAGTAATGGAAAAAAAAGGGTGAAAAGCAACAGTGAACAATTCCCATGTCCCTGAAAGTTAAAGATACCTCTAAATGACGATTTAAGAGGATGAAACCAGCTATAGAGTTAAATAGTGAGAAAAGGAGGAAGTCAACGAAAGCAACAAGCCAGGTATATGTTACTATCGCACGTACTGATATTTCATTGTTTAACTATTTGAACATGCGAACAAAATAAATTCAAGTGCATAACACTATATCCTTCGTCATAAAACACTCGTGAGTGGAAGAAACTAACATTTTTTTTTTTTTTTGTTTGAGATATCAAATGAAACCGTTGTTTTGGGGGACACCGGTGGTAGCGATAGTCCGTCAACCCCGTCATACGTGTTAGTGAATGTGAGTATTATTGCAACTATATTATATATAAGCATTTACTATTCATTCATGATTGTTGGTTAACATGTTGATGATGTTGAAAAGTGCATTGACAGTGTTTATATGAAATATTTTAGGGTGCAGAAATTCCCATCGAATTTCTCAATGAAGAATCTTATGTAACACCACCAGCTGTATTCCACAACAGACAGCTTAATATTTGTGAACCATGTACTTCATCAACTAACCATGTAAGTACTTTGACAAATTAAGATGCATTATTTTCTTTGTTTTTTCAAAATGGACCAATTTTTTTTACATCTAAACAATATATTACAAAGGTCACATGGGACATATCCCACACCAAACTCTGCCCAGACTAGGCAACATCAGAAAAAGTCACACTGAAACCTAATGCAAAACACTGATGTAGATCAATTGGAATATTATCCATTTTCCATTGACTTGCAACAATAAAATCCCCAAAACTTTTGATCGAAAACTGTATGTGGAAAAAAAAAAATTGACATAATTTTACTATCACACCAAGGATGAAGAAAAATGTTGATGTCAGTTCCTTTTTCCAATAACATACTTACAGTTGATCTTCATGAAGTCCCCCAAATGGCAACTATACTCTTCCATATAGAAGAATCTGAAACCTTTGGCATGACTTGCCAAAAGGATGCATTTCTTAGGTAACATGAACAATGTTTATACCCAACCACCGAAATCCTATCTTTGAACAGCAAATAATCTGAAGCTAATACACAGTTTTCAGGTAAATCAATATCCAAAACTGTTGTCACCCCCAAACCACCTTCTTCTGTAGGAGTAGCAAGCTTTGTCCGTTTTAAATTTCTCGTATCTGCATAATATCTTCATCATGCCCCAAAATAAAGTTCCTCATTATCTTTCATATGCCCATATCATGTATAAAAGTCTCTGCCGCATCCTGAATGACAGTAATATTAGTTCTAGCCGTGTACTCTTTAATTTGCTAATGCAAAAACCTTCTACACCTGTCCTGGTCCTTCATCCATGTAATTCTTGTCTTGTGAGACAGAAGAATTGCTTCATTAGAGCTAGCACATTCAAATTGTTGTCTAATATCCTACTCATCAATGAAAACATCATTTATAAGATTCTCGGTTAACCTCAATTGCACTTACTCAAGAAACTTCCTAATACCAATAACCTAAAATAAAACAGACTCAAACTTTACAAAAATTCCAAATTTTTACAGCCCTTTTAACCAATGTAAAATACTACAGTAGCTTCTGGATTGGATTCCCACCCATGACTATAAATCAGAGATAATGTTGCGAACCATTGCCTGTGTATTCCAAACCAACAAAAATCCGAAAGGCTTTGGACCTTCACCAATGTGCAAAGGAATGTTCAGTTTAAGTCCCCTATGATCTGAAATGAATGTTGTGGAATAAGAATAATATGTGAACTTGGAAATACATTATCCCAATCCTGGTTCTTAAGACCTTGATCCAGTGTTGCATAAACTCTCGTCTGACTAAACCTTTTAGTACCCCAAGTAAATTATCCATTATCCACTGGAATATCAGATAAACAAAGCTGATCAATGGTATGGTTAAAATCATGTAGCAGTGAATTATGGGGGTTGCCTAAGGCCTCTGTTCATCCCACCTTAATATGTATTGTCAACAACATAAATGTTTCAGGCTGATATTGGCGATCCAGCCATGTTGTCATCTCAACTGTTCAGTACGCCCTCTTCATACGATGAATCAAGTGCTCATCGTTTGGGAGGTGATGAGGTAATCATTTATTTCTTCTCCACTAATGTTTTTGTCATTGTTCTCATTATAAATGTGCTGATAGAAAACAGTTTACAAAAATTATTTGGATTACATTTGTTGTCATTGTGGTTAATTGCAGACACCTAGGCAAGCACATGTGATGCCAACATCTGGAATGACAATGACGTTGGGGATGAATCATCCAATTCAGCATCGACTCTTTCATATTGAGAAGAAACTTGTGATGCAATTGACTTATCATTGATTGTGTGTATCCTTGTAATCTTTTGGACATCTTGTACAAAGTTTATGGCCTACTTTGGCTGCCCTTGTTACCTTTAGCTGTCATATAATTGACCTTGTATTCATTGTGTGCATGCTTGTAACATGTTCCACATATTGAGTATCACCATATTTTGTAAATCCACTGTTCGAACATTACAAAATGTATGTCTTATTTTGGGTATGACCATGTTTTGGAAGCAAGAAAGACATAAGAGAATCACTGTCAAATTGGATAGACTATTTGTTCAGAAATATTAATGTAACCCAAGCTACTTAAAGTAGAAAAAAAACATGTACCAATGGAACACTGAGACCAACAATGGACTCTTGGCTTAAGCGTTGGCAAATGTTGACCCTTTGTCCTGGGTTCGAGTATCAGTATGAATGAGTGGCAATGTCGGAAAAGAGGTATTTTAAAATACATGTAATAAGTTTTTTTTGAGGGACTGTTGGACAACAATAAAGTAATATATACAAAACATTCCTACATTGTTTTACCTACATGAATCAAAGACATCAATCAATATAATATGTAAATATAATCCCAACACAATAATAAATGTGTAGTGGGGGTAGTTGAATATTAATTCATGGATCAGAAATATTAATGTAACTCAAGCTACTGAAAGCTTAAAAAATGTACCAATCAAACACTAAGACTAATAATGGGCTCTTGGCTTAGGTGTTGGCAAATGTTTACCTTTTGTCCTGGGTTTGAGTTTTGTACAATAAGAGATATTCTAAAATACCTTATTTTTCGTCTTTTTTAAAAAAAATTATTTTTTACTACAAAACATTACAAGATAGGACAAAAATAAAGTAATATGCAGAAAACGTTCCTACATTGTTTTACCTACATGGATGAAAGACATGTTGAATCATTTATGTCAGCAATTGTAAGTGGACAATAGCATATTATTGTATAAAAATTCACTCCAATTTTAACACTCACCGTTGCACAAGTTTCATTATGTTACTTGAAGAAAAAAAAATGAACCAATCAAACATCCACACACGTACGTACATAATACCTCAAGAAATTCGTACATTAAATCGTAATAAATACGTACAGAAAATCCCAATACAATAGTACATACAATCACAACACATATGTACATAAAATGAATATAATATGTAAATAGAATCCCAATAGAATAATAAATGTGTAGGGTAGTTGAATATTAATTGAACTATGGATTAGAATCACAAATGCCTTCAACAACCACTCCCACCCACAACGCCACCACTTCTGCTATAAATATATGTCATGAGGCTTGGATAGAAGCATCCACAAGAAAATGTCTTCCTCTAGGCCAACCAATGGTATGTTACCAAACCATAGAAGATGCACAGCCAGCTCCAATTACCTAACCTTTAGTCCCATTTCTCTGTGACAAGCACCCTCTGTTGCAGATCCTCCCTTTATCCTGCAATACCTTATTATGCGCATGGATAATTTCGGGAGTGACCTGAGTCGCCTGTGGAGTATGGTGAGGAAGGTGGATCGGCGCATTAAGAGTGTTAAAGCGCTGTGGAATGAAGAGTCTGACGACCAGATCATGAAAGTTCTGAACTCCTCTGACGCCACAAGCGACGACGGAACGTAAGGAAGGACGGCTGGCAATGTCAACCCTACTTATGACTATCTTATGCTTTGTGTTAACTATATCTGTTTTACTTCGTACGTAAGTTTCAGTTGTAATGTCTGATCCCTCTTTGTGGTTATGGACCAAATGTTTCTTTAAACACTGCAAATTTCATATCCGCATTACAATGGTAAGGTGTTTTTGTAGTGATGAGAAAGTTAGGATTGACTGTAGCAAATTTTTGGACTTCTAGCACAAAATTATTGAGATATAAATTAGGAAAATATTGGGATTTATAATAGAAAATTGTTGCGATTTATTATAGGAACATGTTACGATTTACACTAGGAAAATGTTGATATATTAATTAGGAAAATATTGGGAATAATTTTAAGAAAATTTGGGATTCATTTAGGAAACTGTTATGATGTTCAAACCAAAATTTTGGGATACAAAATAAAAAATTATTGTAAATTTACACAATAAAATGTTGGGATATAAAATAGGAAAAAGTTGGGATTTTAAGTAGGAAAATTTTAGAATTTAAGAAGGAAATTGTTGGATTAAAGGTAGAAAAATGTTGGGATTTTAAATACCAAAATATTCGAATTTGAATATCGAAAAATGTTGGATTTAAACTAGGAAAATGATGGGATTTAGAGCATCTCCAACACTAAAATATACACCACCACATATACACCGGCACATATGTTTTGTAATTTATTTTCATCTCCAGCACTCTATCAGAGTGATATTAAATGCATGTTTAGCGGCATACATTCCATTCACGTGTCTATTAAAGGCGAAGTAAGAATGATATAAAGTCATGACATGAAATTTGTTTGAAATTTTTACACCAACTGAACTTTGTTTTTTGAATGATACTATTACAGTTATTATACGACATGCATATTGTATATATTCCAAAAAATTCCTAACATATAAATGTGATGGACCAAAACTGTAGGTCACTGTTAAACTAATAATTTCCACCATTCCAGCAAATAAGTGACTTATTTCTGAAACATCAAATAACTCACATATGTCAATATAACTGTACAAACATATCGTGCATCTATCCCATATTAGTAGTCCAGTATCTCATGTTTACTTTTTTCCTAATTAGTTATCCACCTTGATAACTGAAACCAAATATTCCAATCATTTACCATAATTGGCACATGTATATTTCCACAAATACATAATATAATACTTCACAACAATTGCCAAATGACAGAAATTTCAAATAATCCAATCCATTCATTACCTAGGCTAACCTACCAAACTAGGAACCATATACAGAGTTCATGCATCCAACCCAAAATCGTATCCTTGTTTTGGAAATTATCTTTTCGAAATAGTACCACAAAATTAGAAGAACTGGACATGGATTAAGTCAAATACATCAACATTGCTTACTGATTTGGGATTTAAAGTTGGAAATTGTTGGTATTTAAAATAGCAAAATTTGGGATTTAACCCAGAAAAATATTGCGATTTGAAATACCAAAGTGTTAGGATTTCTTGCACCAAAATATTGGGATTTAAATTATCAAAATGTTGGGATTTAAAGTAGAAAAATATTGGGATTTGAATTACCAAATTGTTGGAATTTAAAATAGCAAGATATTGAAATTTACAATAGCAAAATGTTGGGATTTAAAGTAGCAAAATATGGGATTTAAAGTAGTAAAATGTTGGGTTTTAAATTACGAAAATGTTGGGATTTAACGCATCTCCAACAGTATGTTCAATAATCCTTTTATGTAAAATATACACCCACATATGATTTGTCATTTATTTTCATCTCCAGCAAATAAGTGAGTTATCTCCAATAAAATGTTGGGATTTAACGCATATCTCTTAAGATACACGGCCACATTTAACCAATGTGTAAGACGCCACATTTAACCAATGTGTAAGGTGGTTGTTTATTTTATAGAGCCCTTTAACACAGTCAGAAACTACCATATTTTCTCTCTCACTATGAAACTAACAAATTCCACCTTTCCAGAAAATAAGTGAGTTATTTCTGAAACTTCACATAATTCACATATATCAGTATAACTGTACCCTCACATCGTGCATTTATCCAATATTAGTAGTCCAGTATCTCATTTTTAGCTGTTCCTACTTAGTTGTCCACGTTGAAAAGTGAAATCAAATAATCCAATCGTTTACCATAATTGGCAACTGCAAATATTTGCAACATTTGGCAATTAACAGACATTTTAAATAATCTAATCCATTCATTACCTATGCTAACCTACCAAACTAGGAACCAGATACAGAGTTCGTTCATGCATACAACCCAAAAAAATCGTATCATTCTTTTGGGAATTATCTATTCGAAACAGTAGCACAAATTAGAGGAACTGGACATGGATAACGTCAAATACATCAACATTGCTTCCTGAATTTTTTAACAACTGTTGCTTTTACTAATACATCATTCTATCCCGAATGTCTAAAACCCTCAATACTCTACTTTCTTCCTTGTTTTAGGTACACATTGCCTTCCCAATTCCCTCTCTTTGCTGCACCTGTTTTTCCTCGCCAGTCTCATTTCTCAACATGTATAAAACCCTCACCTCAGCCGTTGATCCTTCATCGACAGTACCTGTAAAAACATTTTATCCATTTCTCTATCAACCTTAACTTGTACAAATCATGAACTAGTATCATAATTTCAACAACCTAATTTAGATTGGAAAATAAAGTTAGGGGTAAGGTACTTCATACTTCACCGCCATTCCACAGGGACATCATTATAATCATATATAACATATGGAAGTGAATAAGTTTGATTCCCCCGTTACAAAACCTGAGACAACAATTGCAATGTGATTTGGATCAATATTTTCCAAACATGCGAACATTATTATAATCATGCATCAATCATGTAACTAAAAGGTATAGAGGCACCACCAATTTATGTAAAACAAATCATCTATTTCTATGCTTATTTAGCATAATGATTTTCCGCACCCCTTTCATGCGTCAAACAGTACGAATACAGAATATACTTGCTACTACATTTTTTCCTTTTTCATCATTTATCTGTTCGGTTCTCTGGTTGCTTATGCGTAATTTGTAGTTCAATTTAATTGTCGTAAAAAAAAAAAAAAAAAAACTATTGGTGCATTTTTTGTCAAATATTAAATCAGCAAATCATAACAAAATTAGACCAACCCATTTTGGATTGTCAAAATAAACAAAGGGTAAAGTCACATTCTCTACTCTACCATCTACATACGAGTACTTCCATTATGGATGAAAGACCAAAATTGCATTACTGACACTTTCACTTCTATCCCTACTGGTGATGGATTATGAATTAAGTCAACAACATGGACAATTAAGATTGAAGAATTGCTAAAGATACACAAAGTACCTGCAAGTCTTACGCACTTCATCAGGGTGAAGGTGATCAGACAACAGCATACAAATGTTAACGGTGTCCTTCCAATTTCGAAACCTGAATGATACAGAGTCTTTCCAATTGATTAATCACAGCCATAGGAATGTTGTAAATATTACACCAGTA